GTGTGTGTGTGTGTGTGTGTTTGTGTGTGGCAGTTAAGAAAAAACAGTTGTAAGTAATATATAAAACATAACTCCATGAACTATGAGAAAGATGTTAAATATTTGTGGGTGAGAAATAAATAGTTTGTGAATGATTTTTGGACAAAATTGAACAGCCAAAGATAAACACAGGGAGATCAGCCAGGAAATCCCTCTGGTGGATACAGTACTTGCAGAAATATTACAAATAGAAGAAAAAATGTCAACATTGTTGCCCATTTCAGAGGAAATGCTGGCTGCTTTTTGATCTGGAAAAAATCAAGGGAGGGAAGCAGGTATCTAAAGAACTGAGGATTACATAATTCCTTTTCCATATTCTAAATCTTGAAAATATTTTGCTTGTAACTTTTTTGAAGAAATATTTGTTTTGTTTTAAATCATGTTCCTGCAGTCAATTTCTAGAATTACCTTGAGTTCTAGTATTAAAGGAGAACACTTTGTCAACTCCATACTTGCATAATTTTTAAAACTGTTAGTTATTATTTAAGATATCCTGAAAGTGTGAGGGGTTTTTTGTCATAATTATGGAAACAATAGTCCTTCCAGAGAAGACTTTATAGTGGAATCAACGTGGTAAGATTTGGAATTATTTCAAGTAATATAACAATTCATTTGAAATCAGTTCATGTTTTCCCAGGGTTGCTACTTTCTTTTTTTCCCTTATAATACAAAAAAATAAGTAAGCACAGAGAATGAAATAAAGTACAATATTTTTGCAAATATGGACTGAGCAAGAAAATTACATAGTTGAGGTATTTCATACTTGACTGCTTGCTCAGCATCTCTTTATTGAACTATTTCACCTCCTGCCATTAAATTCCTTCTGTTAAAATTATGCATTTAATCTGTATTAATTATCTTTTTAAAAAATTACCACCTCATTTGATGTAGTCTGAAGGAAAGCCCTGCTTTTGCTTCCAAGAAGGTATTAACACCTGCTCTATTATTTGCATCCTGAAAATAATTTTCTTCCTAAGACATAATTGTATTCAGGCTAAAATTGTCCATTAAATTAATTTGTAGAATTTTTCTAAAAAATGTATACATGTATATTTCTCTTTTTTTGTATATGTTTTATTAATTTTGTAAGGTTAGGATTAGGGTTGGGTTTTTTTAAAATAACATTCTTAATATTTAGCAAACAGCATATTGTCTGGGTTCATGTATTTAGAAAACAGTAAGAGTTAATTTCTATATTATCATAATCAATATATTAGCTAATTGCTCAGTAATCTTTTACTACTATATATTCAATGTTACTTAGTACATATCACGTTCCTTTCTCTCTAACTTGCTTTTCTAGCCATTGGTAAAAATTGTCCCATGTTTTAAAGTACGCTGAGTCTTCTTTCTCTTTTATCTTTAATGTCAATCTGTCCATTTGTGCACAATCTAAAATTTTCTTAATTAGTTCTTCTTCCATTGGTAAGTTTTCATTTTTCCAATATTGGTCAAATACAGTTCTTGCTGCAGTTAATACTATACATGTATATTTCTGATTAATTAAAGTTGCATAAATACTATTTCAAAAGTTATTTAGCACATTGGGAGTGGGCTGCATTGTTTTCTTCACCCATTATGAGGAATTCCAACTATTCTGTCCTTTTCTAAATCATATGCAGCTTACAAAGGAGGGAGAGATTCTGTTGCAGTGAGAAAGTTTCCTCTAGGCTTGTTTTTGTAATATTCTTCATCAAGACAGGTTTCCCACATGCTGGAGAGAAACATCCTGCTGTTTTCTCGCCCTAGAAATTTTCATGGAAAAGGGAAAAGATAGCCCTATGTTTTGTTATACATTTTTTAAAGAATAAAATAATAAAATAATGGCTGTTTTTTTCTCTATCTATTTAAGGTTCCAAAAGAGCAAGGCCTAGTATAAAAATTTTAATTCCAGCTTTTTAGACAAAGCAATAAAGCCAGTATGAGAAGGTTCTCCTGGGGAGTGGAGGCAGACCGTGAGATGGTGGCCAATGAGAAGGAACATACTCTGTGTCAAAAATGTTATTGGACTTCTAGGATCTAATGACAAGGGGGAATAACTTATAGTGAGAGACAGAAACACAGGCAGAAAATAATCAATCCAAAAGTCAAAGCCAAAGCATCTTAATCCTAATTGAGATTTCAGAGAGTAGGAGAAAGAAATTGAAAATCAATACAGGCAGCAAAATGGTCTATCAGTCCCTCAAATTCAACCATGAGAATATCAGGTTCCACAAACATCGCTTTCAGCAGTCCATCACCCCCATAGTAGTATAGAGAAGGCTGGAACTTTCCTGTGTCCTCAGTCCTAACCTTACTACAAGGGGATCCAGTCATAGTGAGCTATTTTTAAATAAATCTTTATTCCAAAAGTATTCTCCCTTGTAAACCAAATGATTCAGTGTCCTCTCTGATTTGCCCCAAAACTCTTATCATTCTGATTGGTTGCTGGCGGCATTGCTAAATCTGGATCAGAGACTTGGGCTGAAACTTGAGGCTGGCTGATAGGGACTGTCTTGCCTTAAGTATTTCTTCAGTTGTAGAGGTCTTGGCAAGATTGGCTCTTCCAAATCAGGCCATAACATTATGTTCTTCTTTCTTTTTTTCAGTGAATTTTCCTAACAGACTTAATTTTGGATCTGGTTTGATTACCTGACTGATAATTTTACCCATATGTCTAAATACCAAATCCTAGACTTTTCTGTTCCTTGGCCATATCCACCAAAGGGAGAAACTACATGACTTCTGATTTCATTATTTCAAGCAGAGCATAACGTACTTTAGTTATATATGTCAGTTTAAATTGACTCAGTTATCATCTCCAAATTATTTTGATATAATTTTATTTAATTTGGCCAAAGAGTGAGAATGGAGGCTTGGAAATTTGCATCTTACTCCAATCCCCATCTTCAGTGACTGTCAGTAATTTTAACCCATTCCATGGCAGAATCTTATATTCAAGAGCAACAAAATGTATAGAGTTTACGTGCTAACCCTTTTGTTAACATTGATATCTTAAATTATTTTTCATAATTGGTAAAATGCTTTTTAATAACTCATTATATTGAAAGTAGGAAAAGGATCACATTGGTATTGAATTAAAACAGGGAGGTTGAACATTAGAAAACAAACTTCTTTACAATACATAACTTATAACTTTCCTTAAATATATAACTTTGCCCTTTCATTCCCTACAGATATTTCTTCATTAAAATGATGAGCTGTAACTAGTAAAAATAATGAAATGGAAGGAGATGGGCAAGATTGCCACATTTTCAATATATGTAGTTGACTTTAAAAAAATGGTTTTCGAATGTTGACTTTCAGATGTAACTTGGGAGTTACAGGTTCCAGCTACTATGGTGAAAGTTTATGGATGTACTTACTGTGAAATGTTTTGAATTGCATATGTGGAAAGCTAGAGATTTATATAATAAATGAAATAACTTTTTTCCTATTTGATATTTCCCTACCAATTTAAAGAGATATTTGGTCTGTTTTGAGCTCATTTCCCATGAAAATATAATTTAAAATTCTTCTGATGGGATTTCTATTTATCTACGTTTAATAAATTCATCTTCATCTGAATTAATACAATTTGCAATGAATTTATTTAATGTTTTGGCCAAACAAACAGTAAAAATATTTTTATATTCAAGATTAAATTAGTCAGATAATATTCTTTTTGAAAATCTGATAGCTTGTTTGATTTTATTTTAGGATTTTCTCATTTAGATTTGATTATTTTTCTCATGTTAATTAACATTAATATTATAGTTATATTATAAAGGAAAATTATATGACCTATCCATGTCTTGAGTACTTTGTTTAAACATATCTTGAGAAGTCCTGCAATTTGATTACCAAAAAATGGATTCAGTTCACAGTTTCATCAAATTCATTTAAGTCTGTTGTGTTTTTTACAACATATGAGAAGATACCAGCTCAATACACTATCTGGAATATTGAATAAGCTAATATAGAGCTTTAATTATCTCTGTGTAAATCACATAGATAAATTTTATACCTTGTGATTTCCTCCACATAGGAATTGGGTAATGATATTATGAGCTAGATATTGTTTATGAACATTCTTCACCAAAAACTGGGATATGTTTTTAACATTATTTCATAAGTAACTATTCGTTCAAACAATTACGAAAGACATTGGGATTAATTATATTAAAATATGATATCTATCACAATGATCAATCTACTTACAGAAGCTTTCTGTGGTAGCATTAATAAGCATTAAAACTGATTGAAAAACTAATTTTATTTTATTTTCCCAGTCTTGAATGTGAGCAGTTACATTAAACACTGTCAATTTACTTACCTTGTGTGAATCTGATACTGTAGAAGTATACATTTGGAATTTGTTTTAGGATTCAGAAAATCTAGATCTTCAAACTCTGAATTATTTAAGCTCCCAAAATGCATGCACTTTTGCTTTTCAAGCATGAGTTATAATTTAATTAAAACTTCTGGTGCATTACTAGCTACTTAAATATTTAAATGTTCCATGGATCACTTTTGATTATCTGCTCTCGTGGAATTCCTGAGGATGTCAGATTTTTAAGATTCCCCAAGTTATACTTGGTATTGTCTGTTGATTCAACGGGGATTATGATAATTATATACATCCATTTGTATTAGCATAGGAGATAAACTTTGGGGAGACTTAATGGGTATGTCTCAGTGACAGCTAGCAAAGAACATTTGGCATGATTAAGGATAGATTTGAACATAGTTGAAAATATATTCTCCTCATGGATACCCAATGGAAGTTGCACTACAAATGTTAAATTCCCCAGAAGAAGTGTTATGTGGCAGAGAAACTTTGAAATCCATTGTGGCTATCATCCAATTTATTCTGTTCTCTTTATGACTTTCCACTGTCAGATTCATTTTATGATACCCTGCTTGGCTCCCTGTGTGCATTGAAAAGAGGCAACCTGTTGGTTCATTTCCTTGTGTTTCAGATTGTCCGAAGATACATCAAGGAATGGCTTGAGAGAAGGAAGCCTCCATTTGGTGCTATCAGCAGTTGTGTACTCTTGATGATCATCTATACAACATTCTGTGATACTTTCTCTAATCCAAATATTGATCTTGATAAATTTAGCCTGATCATAATAGTTTTTATAAGTAAGTACTATTTATGCTTTGGGCATTTTTCAAAGAGCTGTGTATTCTTATTCCAGGAAGTGAGGACCAAAATAATCTGGAAAATATATACTGTACTGAGTTTCTCTGTGTTGTGGCCAGAGTTTTAGGTACACTGAACAATATATGCATGTCTTTAGCAATCTATTCAAAGTTTATTTCGGTCAAAGATCAGTATAATACAAAATAATTAAAAAACTTTTTTGAAATAGAATAGCCATCTATTTAATACTTTTGTCTCTGATTGTATTTTTGGAAGGTTTATATTCTTTTTAATGTCTTAATGCCAATCTGTGCCTTTAAATATATTGGTAATACTTCAGTAGAATGAAGTGATTTCAATTAAAATATGTACTATTGCGGTCTACAAAAATAGTATAATTTTATATAGCAATAATCCTTCAGTATTTTTGTAAATGGACATTACTAGTCACCTTATTTATTTATGTATTTGATTGATTGATTGATTGATTGATTGATTATCTAATAACAACATTTCCCTGTTATTAAATATTTTAAAAATAAAATTACTATTAAGATAAGATAAAATACTAGAACAAGGTACAACTTTGAAAAGAATTGTTCTTTTAAAAAATAAGTTTATTGATAAGAACTGCCTTCCGTGTAAACAGCAGTTGTAGATTCTAATATCACATAGATGATGGACTGTTACAAGAACTGACAATAGCATCATGCACAAGAAGAAGAAATTCTGAGGCGTACTGCTTTTGTGCAGTACTTCTATGACGTCTTCAGCAATTTCCCCAACCTAGATTCTCTCCCAAGAATTGAGAATGGAGAATTCTGTGAGATTGACACATCTGGAAAGAATCCAAGTTGGGGAATATTACCTTCAATTTAATGTTCATAATTTACTAATTATAGCAAGTCTTAGATTTACTTTCTATTGTACTTCAGTATCCTCTATTCTTAATCAGTTAATAGGGATAGATACTGATCCACAATTACAGAAATGCTTTAAAGTAACAAAATGATATCAAAGTTTTCTAGCTGGGTATTATTAGTAAACTAGCATTCTGATATTCTGTTTTTACATAAACAGAATGAGTTGTCTTCTATGTGTGAAATTTGGCCTGGAGAATGTTTTTAAAGGAAGATAGTTGGTTGGTTGTTTGCTTGGTTGATTGGTTGCTTGGATGGATGGATAGACAGAAAGAATGAATGAAAGGAAGAAAAAGAAAGAAAGAAAGAAAGAAAGAAAGAAAGAAAGATGTTACTAAATTTTAAATATAAAAATACAGTGAGGTGTGGAATTATATTAGTGTCTGATCTGTGTACTTACAACCATATGGGCAATGAAGATTAGCATTAATACTTTATAGAGTATTAGCTTTTTATATAGGAAAATGACTATATTCTTAAAGCACACATTTGAATGTATTGTGTATTAACATCAATCTGATTTTTATTTTAGTATTTTCAGTTCAGCTAGGATTTATGATGTTAACTTTCTTCTTTTCTACAAGGTAAGTAATGGCAGTAATGTTTTTTCTATATGACAGACTACCTGGGTATAGGATAGATTTGTTCTTTCTTTGTGATTCTAAGTGCTTTGGTATAAACTGACCAAAATAAAAAAGACAACTTCTCAAAGCCAGGTTGTTTATTTATTTGAAATCTATAAACAGATAAAATAAAACATGTATTGTCTTACAATACAAAGTAAAATAAGAGGGGGGAAACAACCTAACAATAAAGCAAGAAATAGTTTTCTACTATTGAAAAAAAAATGCAGGTCTTAAAGTTGTTGTAAAATAACTATATAAAATAGCAGAAGCTATATATTAGGAAAAGAAATATCTGATTGGAAAATAGCTATTTAGGCAACCTATAGAGAATACACAAAATTATTGATAGGTAACTATAGACACTGTTATATAACTATTACCCTAATTTATATTATTATTTAAAAACTAGCCATTATTTTAAAAAATCCCATAAACCATATATGTTTAAACATAGAGGAAATATCTCATGTTCATATGTATGTGTATTAATGTTTTATTCAACAATCTTCTTAGTAATATTCCTATATTTGAATTCTAAGTATCTGGGCTGAAGTGGTGAATTTTCAAGATTGATAGCCACTAGGTGATAGTTATTGTAAGGAAGACAGCTCTTTAACTCAAAAATGACCAAACCTGCTTTTCCCTCCATCTTAATAAAATAAAAACAAATTATTCCATTCATTTAACAACTACAAAAATACATTGTCTTTGTGCTATGCTTCCTGCAAAACAGCTGCCTTTCTAGCTTGCCATGAAATTGACTAGCAACTATCTCTGCTGACTTTGACAATAGGAGAACAAGCAAGTCTCTCAAGAACAGTTTCAGTACTGTGTCTTTACCATACGTCAGGGGTGTCAAACTGCCGGCCCGCAGGCCAGATGCATCATAGCGAAACCGCGTCCACCCCATTGCCAGCAATGGCAAAAAAGTCACGATATGGCACGACAAGTCACGTGACGTTGCAAGTTTGACACTCCTGCCATAGGTAGTGTGCAACAACAAACATCATACATAAGAGAAGGAAACCAATAGTTCAAAGAGGATTAAGTAAGAACCAACGTAACTACTATTCCAAAATGTGCAAGTGATGCAGCGGGGAAAAAAGCAAAGAGATGCCATGAAGAAGCTGTTGAAAGGCATTGAATTTGTTCCATTGCCATTCTCAGAAGGCATAACAGTTATCTTAGGGGAAGGCTCTGAATTTCCAGCAAATGTGTGTTTCTGGTCCTGAACCCCCTGGATTTAAAATAAATGTCAAAAGTAATAAATCAACAGAACATCTATTTTTGTGAAGAGAGTCCTCTAATATGATATTCAGAAAATATTGAAATAATGCTACATGTATGTATTAGGCAAAGGTTGGAAATTCTTGAAGACTGCCTAAAACTAGTACACTACATCTTTACACAAGTACAAATATTACAGACATATATTAAAAAGATGGGATATTGTATTCAGTAGAAAACATGTTGTGTTTTGACCACAAACTTTTAGTTATCCAAAGTATTGAAAATAATCCCTTTGCTGAAGATGTCTTTTTTTAATGAGAAGAAATGTGAAGAAAAAGTTGATGAATTTGAAAGACTATCCAAATTAGTTTTATGAGCTGTTTTTATAGAAGATCAGTGTGGTTACAACCAATGCAAAGAAATCAAAGATTGCAAAGATACTGAAGAATAATAATGCTGTCATAATTTTTCCCATAAAGTGGATTTCTATTTTATGGCAAGAATTAGACTTTTCAATCGCCTCCTACTGGAATTTGCCTTGTGTCACTTGAATGTAATGCTCAGTTTGATCCTTTTCTTGAGCAGCACCTGAGAAGAAAGCAAAAAATAAAGGAAAGGGCCATATGTCAAACATTTGCTTACTAATGTTTGATAAATAAAGGTAACAGAATTAAGTTCACATGCAAATCATTCAAGTGTTCAGTGTATTTTTTAATAGTTGATTCTACAGTTTCTTACAATGATTAGTTTTTTAACATTTTGGGTAATGTCTCAAAAGAAAAGAAGCTATTTTTGTGCAGTTTTGCAAATTGGCAAGCACACTGAAACTGCCATCAGTGATTTTCAGCACCAGACTCCTTTTGAATAAACTGCAGCTGCAGAGTATGAGTGTGTCTGCTGAACATAAAGCTGTAATGAAGGCTCAAGTGTGGTGATCAGAGTGAGGAGAGCTGGCAAATTCCAGAGGACACCAAAGAGAAACCTACAGAATTAGCACCTGTTGGATGACCTTATTAGGCCTGTGCAAACAAATTCTTCTCTCTGCCAGGTTTTGATGCGGCTCATTGCCCAACTCATTGCTGGGCAGAAAGAGAATTGGTTCCCCATGCTGAAAAGTCTCATTAGGAAAGAAGAAAGGGAACCAGAGACTGCAGAGGTATGGCGCTGCTTATATACCCATACCTGAGCTGGAAGGCTTATTGATTGTAATTGTTGCTGGATGAGCAAAAGAACAAGCTCTAAACTGCTATTCTGAAAGAGTTTACCTTTTTTGCAAGCATTTTATTTTGAATATTACTTTCAATTCTTAGTTTGCTTAGGCTCTAAGGCAGACATGTCAAACTCGCGACGTCATGTGACGTCGCACAACATATCGGAGCTTTTTTGCCATTGCCGGCAATGGGGTGGGTGCGGCTCCGGTATGATGAAACCGGCCCACGGGCCGGCAGTTTGACACCCCTGCTCTAAGGAGTCTCTATTTTTGTTTTCAATTCCTGTCCCTGAACATCCAGGACCTGGAGAGAATAAAGTTCAGCAGGTTTGCAACATTTTTGAAGAGTCCAGGGTTTGCTTTCTGATATTTGCTAGTCAGCTCCCCAAAGCTTTATCTATAAGGGTGTCTGCTGCAATGACCTTGATATGCAAAATCATACACATATGAGGATAACAGGAATGTAACTGAGTAGTGTCAGGGGCAGTAATGACATTTTTTTTGTGCCATGTACTGGATATTTCCTAAATGGGAGTGTAGAGAAAAATAGATTGTATCAGTTGCTTTAAGATTTATATATTTCCCATTTGGCATCTATGCATATATTGCTGCTACAACAAAGGAACACTGAAACATGTAAACTAAGAATCACTTCTAAAAACCTATCATATTTAAGATGTTCCTCCAGAGAAGACGCCAAAGAAACCCTTGTTTTCTATGATTGCATAAAGTCCTTCACAGATTTGACTATGTCAGCAAAATCGTGCCCTGATCAAAAACTGATACTGTGTCAGGAAAGGAATCTTGCATGACTTTTTCATGATATGCATATCAGCTTGAAAAAATAATTACAAAGCAGCTAAGAAAACCAATAATTGTGCAGAAATCATATTTCTCAATAAAAAGATGAACAGTAATAAGACATTTACCCAGATGGAAAAAGTGACAGCAGGTTAATTGGATGAAACAAGTTCAGGACAGAAATGTGAATATTATATTAGGCAAACTTCAAATTGAATTGGAGTAATGCTGTTCTACTTATATAGAAATTGTGAATTTATTTAGTTTCCTGCCTAGATTGGACTAAGCCTACAGAAATTAGAATTCTCCTGGATATGGATGTTGTTGCTCTTGTGAGAGGCTAGTCAGCAAACTCTTAAAATTTCGATCCCTCAGAACTGAAAGAATAGGAAGAACCAGAAGATAAAGCAGATGGATGGGATAATTCTAAAACTACATGTACTATTTTACGTTTAAAATAAGCACCTGATGAAGACTTTTCAAACGTTATATTTTCCATTTTTTTTCCTTGCACTTTTAATTTCTACAGTCTATCTCTGATTGAAAATGTTTTTTTTAATATTCTGTGGTTAAGATTTGTGGTTTCTCTTTGAAGAAAATGATTTTGTAAGAGAAATGTCATTTTTGTAATTTCATCTTTGAATTTGCTGCAAGAGAAAGAAGAAGAATAAGATATAAGTAATCAGAATAAAGCAAATTTGGTAATCAATTTAGCGTGACCTACTAAAATGCCAAAGAATGTGTAAACTTTCAAGTTCTAAGGCAGAATATTTTTTTGAAAAGAAGAAATAGGGAAAGATAAAATTTAGGCTTTATATAAAATAGTTTCTTTCTGTATTTGGCATTATCACAAGCCAATGAAAAGCCAGTGCCATTTTTTGCCATTGTATTATTTTAATGAAAGATAAAACTTATGATCATTTGCAAGTAAAATCAATCTATATTTGCCTTTTACTTTTAAAGAATGTGATTATGATATGCTGTTCTGTTAATTCAAATATAAGTAAAATAATTTTAGATGATATACATTTATACTGTTTTTCAAACTGAAGACCAAAAGGTTGATATAGGATGCAATGAAACAAACTAAGCCAGACAGGCTCAAGTGGCCTTTATGCCCCTGGGGCCTCACAGTCTTATCAAGGCCAGAAGCGACACACAAATAATGTAGCTAAAGTAGAGATCCTTCCCCCCACAATGCCACATTTTTGGTCCCCAAAGTTTGCCCACAGTGAATAGAGCCAAAAACTTGAATCCATTTACTGAGGGTCAGGAAATGGATACCATTTATTCTTGAAAGCTTTTTCCAAAATGTTTGGCCACACTAATTTTCAGATTGCAACTTTTGACCTCTCAAAGAAATTTATTGTATTTTTACTTACTTTATACAA